AGTAATCGAATTAATTAATGGACATTATATCTTAAACATGGGGAGATAAATCGAGTACTTATTATTGGAGTCTCAATTGTAAATTGGGCTAGGAAAATGGAGTGCAATAATATTATGTTGGTGGCCCATTTAATATTATTTAATTAATTAAAATAAGTGGTTTGATCCACAAGTATTTTAATTAATTAAGGAGCCCTAATCCTAATCTCCTAAGGATCCCTACTGTAGCTCTATATATACACCATTAAGCTCATGGGAAGAGAAGAGAATCCCACATCTTGTGAAATCATGCCCCACGTCTCTCTTCTCTCTCTCTCAGTTCCAATTCGAGCTTTATCTTCTTCTTGTTGTTCCACCGGTACAAGATTAAGATGTGTTTGAGATATACAGTAGAAGATCTTTGGGTAAAGCAGACAAAAATATATTTTGTCGTACAGAACTAACCGGAGATCCGATCAAGACGTGCAGCATACCCAGACGACCGCCTCGACGAGAGCTTTCCAACCCGCTGAGATTGCAGCCGTCCGACCACCCACGCACCCGCACGTGCCACCATAAGGTCCTAGGACTGCAACTTGTCTTCATCCGTTTTGCACCCGTTTGATCCGGTTTTCGATTCGATCTTGTTCATGCAATCCTAGGACGCGATTTGCAGTCAACAATTCATTGTCTTGTTGTGTAAGGCCATCCACAGGATCAACCAGATCGCCATAAATTTTAAGTCATAAGTTTTCTACGCAAACCTTTAGATCCGCTGCGCATAGGTTTACATTTTGCTATTGAATTCGTGATTTGTGCATAACGAGATCCTCATAGATCCCAACAGTTTTCACATGAAGGATTTGGGAGCCTTGAAATATTTTTTGGGCATTGAGGTTGCTCGAAATTCCTTTGGCATATTTCTGTATCAGCGAAAATACACTCCTGACATAGTTGCTGAAGTTGGCTTACTTGGTTGCAAGCCTGTTGATTTTCCTACGGAGCAGAATCACCAACTTCCATTGGCTGATAGTCCGTTGTTCTCTTATGCTGAGCGATATCGGTGGCTAGTGGACCGTTTGATTTATTTAGCTGTCACTCGTCCCGACTTTTCTTATGTTGTGCACATGCTCTCTCAGTTTATGCATCAGCCTCGTCAGGCGCACTGAGATGTCGCCAATCATGTGGTACGTTATTTGAAGGGTACTCCGGGCAAGGGTATTCTTCTTCGGTCGGAGTGTGACTTACAGGTCTATGGTTGGTGTAACTCCGATTGGGTAACATGCCCCACTACTCGACGGTCTTTCATTGGTTGGTTCGTCCAACTTAGTCATTCTCCAATATCATGGCGTACTAAAAAGCACACTATTGCTCGCTCTTCTGCCGAGGCTGAGTATCGTGCTATGGCGACGCTTACTTGCTAGTTGAAATGGTTACGGGGTTTACTTCGTAGTCTTGGTGTGGCTCATTCTATGCCGATGCGGATTCGTTGTGACAGTCAAGCGACGCTACACATTGCCGCTAATCCCGTCTTTCATGAGCGCACCAAGCACATTGAAGTTGAGTGCTATTTTCTTCGTGATGCACTTGTTCAAGGTCTCATTTCTACCGCTCATGTTTCTACTCATTCTCAATTGGCGGACATCTTCACCAAGGCCTTGGGAAAACGCGAGTTTGATTTTTTTCCTGGCAAGTTGGACATCCGAAATCCGCATGCTCCAACTTGGAGGGGGTGTTAGAATGATTTGTGAATATTATATTTTTGGTATAGATAGATATGGATATATTATTTTAGGGCTTCTTTTGTATCAATATAATATTGGGGGCTCTGGTAAATCGACGGACAAGTCTTTTGTGTAAATGAATTGCTTTCACGTATTTGTCACATTAAGAGTAATTAAACTAAAAAGAAGAGAGGCCGAGTAAAACTAAAGCTAAGCATACTATACTGTTTTGTCTCTATCAAGTTCTCCACTCACCACATTTTCTACCTCAAAATGAACCAAAAATTTTAGGGTAGCCACTTGGCGTTCTAAGAGGTATGTCAACCTCAATTTATTAAGTTGTAGTGGGATATAAGTAGGCAATCATAAAAAATAAAAAATATAAAAATGAACAATCATTAAAAAAAATATATCTATTTTTGTAAAAGAATATTGCTTTTAAATAAAAGCATTTTTTTTAATAAACAAATATATATATATATATATATATATATAAACATTTAATAAAACATTTAACAAAACCTATTTTAATTTCCCTCCAAAAGAAGTTACATTTTTTCAATTAATTCTCATTAATCTGCTAAAACCGTTACACCTTAATATAATATAAATATTTTTATTATTTATTTTTTGGATTAGTTACTAAATTAATTCTAAATTTGGTAGCAAAATATTCAAATGTGTAACGGCTAATGTTGGAACTTAAAGTTGATTGACACATTCAGAGCTGTAACCGCTATATTTGGTTGTATTGTTGGAAGAAAAATATGATTGACACATATTTTTTTTTTCTAAAAATCAAGAAACACCAATAATTTTTTTTTTTTATTTATGTTAATTTTCTTAATACATGCCACAAATATATATATTAGTTTATTCATGTTACTAATGTAAACGTTGCATGGTTAAAATAAAATTTAAATCTCAATTAATTTTGAATGATAAAAATAACTTAAGAAAAAATTATAATTTTTATATGATAGAAGTACATGTCTAATTAATAAATACAAATAAAAACGTATTTTATATATGTGCAAATGCACAGGATCAAATACTAATTTGTAATAAAAGATTAGTTTTTTCTTCATTTTTGTAATACCATCCAAATTCACTTATGGGGTGAATAAAAATGTTAAGACAGACAACAAATTTCCACTTCTTTTAACTTAAACAACTATTAAAAGCTTTATATCCTAATTTTTTTTCTATGTATAATATTTAATGTCTTTTGAATTATTAAATAATGTGATTTATTAATCACAAAATTTTATCATGTTGTCCACATCTCTCACCGTTAAATATCAAAATTATTCTTTATTATATCCTTCGTTTCTCAAGTTAATGAAAAAGGTTTGAATTACATAAAGAGTGATAAGTGATGGGTCTCTTCTCGATCTGAAACGGCCCGATGAGGAAATGTTCGGATCTGGGATGAACCGGTATGAATGAGCTCAGATCTGATTGGATGGCCTTCGAACCGTTGTTGAGCCGCAAGAACACCTGCAAGAACTCAACGCCGGAGGGGTTTCCGGCGTAGAGCCTCCGACGCTCAAGTCAGTATGTGAAAGAAATGAAGATAACTGCTCAGAGAGAGCAGCAACAGTGAGGGAGAATGTGGAATGAATGGGAGTTAGGGTTTTGGGATTACCTCAGTCCTTTATATAGAAGTGCAAAATTTACCTGAAGTCCCCAAAGTGCCCCAGCCGACTTACTGGAAATGTCCAGAATACCCTGGTCGGTTCGTATTCTGCCTACTTCCTAGTCAGCATCTAGATCCTTCCTTAGCTTCCTTCTTATCCTTAACTCTCCCTCAATATGCTGAGGTGTATCAAAGCTATCGAGAACTACGAACTGCAAGACTCCTTCAGTCGACCTGAGATATCGAGTCGAGTCGACTGGATCGCATTCAACCGTTAGTGAATCCTGATATGTCTGACCGTCGTCTTGGCAGAAATCGACTTATGTTAGTCGACAGGTGTACGTCGACTCAGACGAGAGCCGGGATCCTTGACTGTGAGTATCGTGGAGCCTTACTGGCGGAGTCGACTTTGTTAAAGTCGTCTTGATAGTTTCGAACCGTGATGATACGGACCGTTATGAGCCAGTGTGGCTATATCATCTAGTCCCCCCCAAAATTTACTCGAAGCCATTCTGAGCTTAAGAGTAAGTTCTGGACGGTCGAATGTCTTCCTCAAGTCTTTTCTCATATCCTGTCGCCTGTCGTTGCCCTCTGCGACTTGCGAAGTGGTGTTCACCCAATCGTATTTCGAACTGATTGGATAAGTCTAGATCTTTTCAAATTTCAAAATTCAAAAGATAAGGCACTTTCTCTCTCCACCGCTTCGTATTCTGTGCATCATCTTAGCCGTTGAAAATGACTTTAATCTGAGGGCTGGGGTTTCTTTGCCCTCTCTATAAATAATCCCCACCTTTTCTCGTCCTCACTTTTCGCACTCACCTCCTTTAAGCTTTCTGTTTTTTTCGGCAAACACAGCTTTCTGGCGCTCTTATTCTCCGGAATCCTTCTCCGATTTCTCAGGACTTTCCGTCAAGCATCATGAGTATGAGTAAGTTTTCTTTGCCTGTTCGACTTGTTTTCGTATTTCGAGATAAGAACGCTTTTTATTTTTCTGGGTAAATTGTCTGGAAATAAGAACATCTTTCATTTTCTGGGAATTGCATGTGAATCTTCTGGCGATTTTCTTGTTAGATCTCTGATTGTAAGTTTTTCATCTTTTCAAGTGTTCTCTTTTGCTAGTCGTCTTGTTATGAGATCGACTCTTTTCTTTTCCTGACTTGACCTTCATTTGTCAAGTCGAATCGATATGGGAACTACTTTTCTTA